ATATACAAAGGTCTTGAGATGGGAATGTGGATGGTACCTTGAGAGACATCAAGGAGACCAGTGTGGCTGGAGTGAATTGAAAGCAGGCCCAGGTAAAAAGGCAGTGGTTAGTAGGGGGACAGAAGGTAAATTATGTGTGACTGTGTTGATGATATAATAAGGACATTAAATTTTATATGAGAAGATAATGGGAAGACAGCAAGTAAATCATTCATGAAGAAGGAAAAGGTCATTAAAAAGATCGGAGAGAAGAAAAGATCAAAGTGGACGTTAGAAGAGAGTCTCAAACTCGCCCTTAATTGCTGAGTAGGTAAGCAAATGCAAGAATGATGAAGTGAAGGAGCTGAATAGAAAATTTCAAAGAGTAGCTCAAGAAGACAAAATAAAATATTATCATGAAATGTGGAAAGACCTAAAATTAGATGGAAGAACATGCTCAGCATATCTTAAACTGAAAGAACTGAAAAAAAAAATCAAGTCTTGAGTTGCCATCTTGAAAGATTCTGTGGGCAAAATATTGAATGATGCAGGAAGATAGAACTAGTTGACATTCCATCATTGCAGGAAGTACCATATGAACAAGTACCAATGGTGTTGAAAGAAGAAGTTCAAACTGCACTCAAAGGATTGGCCAAAAACAGGGCTTGTCTTTCTCCTGAGGAGCAGCTGGTAGTTTGGAACTGCTGACCTTGCAGTCGGCAGCCCAACACATAATTACTATGCTACCAGGGCTCCCTTGCAACCCAATAGGACAGAGTCAAACTGCCCTTGTGAGCGTCCAATGTTGTACATCTTTATGAGAGCATAATGCCTTATCCTTCTCCTGCAGAGCAGCTGGTGGTTGGGAACTGCTGAACGTGTGGCTAACAATCCAACTGGTAACTCATTACGCCACTGCACCTTGCTAGCTCTCCCCACTGGTGGGTGGAGGTCCCCTAGGCAGAGGGTATGGGGCTGGAAACCAGCAGTGGCATGTGGAAAGAAAGAGTTGGAGCGGAGAGAATCATAAAAAGCAGAGAGAGAGGAGAAGAGAACAAAAAAAGAGAAGAAAGAAAAAGAGAAGAAAGAAGGGGAAAAAACTCAACTACGTTCACTAAGTTTGACTGGGATGGTAAAGAGAGAAGGAAAAAATAAAGAATAAAGAGACAGCTGATCCCTGATTGCCTGCATGTGGGGCTAGAGGGGTTTAAACCCTGGCCCAAGATGGCAGGTTGGTGTGCCCTTTTAGTGCTGGGTCCCCGTGGAATTGCCTTAGTTGGCGAGATCACCTTAGAGGCCCGACGGAGGTTTCCTCAGCAGTGTGTAGTGCTGTGGGCAGCCTAGAGGTCCCCCTGCTCTTTGGGTTGAGTTGCCCTAGCCAGAGGGTAGTGGCCTGGAATCCAGCAGTGGTGTATGATAGGAAAGAGAGAAAGAGAAGAGGAAAAGGAGAGAAAAAGAAAGCAAAAACAAAACAAAACAGCCTGTTTAGACTGACTGTGGTGGGAGAGATAGAACGGCAAGAGAATAAAGAAAGAAGAAATACAGTGGTAAGTAAGGAGATAACTGAGGCTTGATCACCTTACTGTGGGGCTGGAGGAGTTCCAACTCTGCCTCAAGGTAGCAGGGTGGTGTGTCTGCTTAGTGTAGGGTCCCACAAATGTTGGGTGGGTTTACCCTCGAAGGCAAGATCACAGCAGAGGCCAGGCGACAGTTCCCACAGCAGTATGGAGTGCTGGAGTTCACTGGTATACCTGTCTTGTGCTGTATGTAGCTCTACAGCAGGGGGTGGGGCGGGGCATTCCCTCAGCCCCTAGGACAGGCAGGACCTCCCAGCTGTGTGTAGAATCACTGAGAGGGGAGCTGGGCTTATTGTCCTATCTAGATTGCTGATGCCCTACTAGCTAAAAGGGTTTGCCTCTCCCCCCCACCCCCCTCCCCATCAGCTAGAATAGAATTAAATTGGCTCCCTGGCTCTGGGCTTTGGATCTGTGCTCAGTTTGAAACTGAGACTTGCTCCAAGAGCGTCTTTGTTATGTTGAAAGCCTCCAGGCACTGTAGCTAACTTCTGGCATTCCTTAGCATGGGTCCCTTCTTATGCTAATGTATGTTAAAGGACTCCTTCTACCTGATGCCTTGGAGTTGTGAGCCTGGGATTTACCAAGAAAATATTATTTCTCTTTTTTATAATGGGTTGTCATGCTCATCCCCAGAAGGAGAGATCCAGCTTATCAGGGAGGTTATTTTCTTCTTGGCCTATTGGAACTGAGTTTGCCCCCTGGACTATGACTATCCACTTATTTTCTGCCACAGGGCGACCTGACTCAGGTAAATTCCTGCTTTTCATTCTACTCCAAATTTACGGCTACCCGCTAACCCTGTTCCCCAGGCTATAAGCTCTAGGGGGCTAACAGCACCGGGAGCTCTGGTGTGGGGTCCTGTGACTAGGTCTCAGAGGATCTCCCTGTGTCTGGGGTTATGTCCACTTTAGGGCATCAGCCTGGGAAATCGCTACTCGCCAAGGAAGTAGGGCATGGGCAGCTCTTCAGCGGGAGCCTGTAAGCCCAGCACGCCAAGCCTAGAGCAATCGATTTAGTGCATTCTTGGTCCACTTTGTGAGTGGAAATCACAAAAAAGTGGGGTTCAGGACAGACCCTAGTACCCTAGGTCTAATTTCAGGACTCCACCTCCCAGCGTCCTTCACCTTACCTCCAACTTTTCTGGTCTAGCATCAGGAGCTCCAGGCGGGTGAGTCTTAACTAGATGTCATCTTCTTCTGTCCCAGTCTCCATGTAAAGCCAGATTGCCCCCCATGACTGGTACCGCGATCACGGGCAGGCTGTGGTTTCATGTTTCCTAGCAGTGCAAAGTAGGATGTACCCAGAGAC